CGTTGGGAGAAAGCTGAAAATATATACCGTAGATAGAGGGAGGGAGGGAGGGAGGGAGGGAGGGAGGGAGGGAGGGAGGGAGGGAGGGCTTCACATGCTCCAATTTAGCTCTTATTTAAGTCCTTATTCTTTTTGCGTTTCTCTTCAGGTCGGATCCCACTGAAAATGATAGTATAGAGGGTTTGAGACCAAATGCAAGAGGACCTGGTCTCGTAACATTTGGGGTATGCGCACCTTATTAATGCCAATTGTTACAGTGGTTTACACCTGATATCATTTGGTTTTTTTATTTGATGAGTCAACATTAATTAATGGAGGATCAGGCTTTATGTACAATCTTTATATGATAAGAAGGATAGCTTTTTATACGAATAACTCTATGCATGAAAAAGTCTTGATTGTATCTATATATGATGACCGTAAAATACACTGCATTGGTACTTGTTTTGCTGGTTATTCACTCTTATTATATTTGGTGCAGCCTGATCGGGTAACAGATTTCTGCAAGAGGAACAAGTTGCAACTTATCATAAGAGCTCACGAGTGTGTTATGGATGGTTTCGAACGTTTTGCACAGGGGCAATTAATCACCCTTTTCTCAGCAACCAACTATTGTGGTATTTATCCACTTTAAAATCTACTCATTCTCCACTTTCTCATAATAGAGTTAATAAATTCTCATAATAATTAAATAAAATGCATTTTCAGGAACGGCAAACAATGCTGGGGCAATTCTGGTTGTTGGCAGAGAATTGGTCATTGTCCCTAAATTAATTCATCCTTTGCCACCTCCTTTTCAGTCTCCCGAGACTTCTCCAGAACGTGTCACCGATGAGACATGGATGCAGGTATATATTATATAGTTTTTTTCATGTATATATAATTATATATTATTGAAAATTGCAATTTTTTCCTTTGTGCATTTTATTTGTTAAGTAGAAGATTTACAATTTTACACCGGCTCATAAATGTATTGGATTAATATGGTTTTGTTTAGGAGCTTAACATTCAAAGACCTCCAACTCCTACAAGAGGTCGCCCACAGCCAGAACTCGACCGGAGTTCACTCGCTTATATATGATACATATATATATTTGTACATGAAGATGTTGTTCGAAATAATATCCTCAAGGAAGAAAGATGACTGTAGTTGGTCCGAAGTGAAGCAAGTGAAACCGGTTTACACAACACCATTACAGTCGAGCGATTGTTGTATTCAAACAAATGTAATTTTTGAAGACACTGTTGTTTTAATATAGTAATTTATTAACGAGAGAGTATAAGGTGAGATCGAAATTTGATAGAAGATGGACTTTCTGGTGTATAGTGGATAACGCATGATAAGAGAAGATTGTCAACCCCTCTCTTTGTTGTGTATTTATAAGAATTGGAAATGACATATTTTTATGTAGCCAGCCAGGTGTGTGTTGTTGGTTTTAAAATATTGGAAAAGAAAATTATTAAAAAGAAGAATGTGTATCAACATTATAATTTTATAATGGAATTGCATTTTCTTTTGGGGTGTCTATTTTATGTGTACACACAATAGAATGTTGTAAGGGTCCATTTGAATTGAGGGATTTGAAGGGGATTTCAAATGACTCTAATTTGGAGTCATTTGAAATCCATCATTATTGCTCTAAAATCGACTACAAAAGAGGGTGGGGATTTGAAATCTATCTCCAAATCCCTCAATCTGAACAAGTTTAAGGGATTTGTTATTATGAATTTGAAATTCCTCCATCTAAATGCACCCTTATATTTCTTGGGCCCTTCGTCCAACTACTCGCCTTGGCCCACCTAATTCGTTCATCCTTATAATCAAGCCCATTTATGCGAGTTCAACCTATACTTGCTGAATTGACCCCTGCCATCTACTTCCCCTATTCTACAATGAACTAAAAAGTTATTCAAATCAAGATTAATGGCATAGATTACTAAGGCTCTACAACGGCCACCTGGAACCCTAATTTGAATTCTCTTGAACTTCGATCTGATAAGGAAGATGGAGAAGCAGCTTGCGAGGTGGAAGCTTATCGTGTTATTGACGATGAAATAAGAAGTTTGGAGTGCTCGCCGTCCCCAAACAATGACTCCCCCGAATTAAAAATTTTAATTTGGTTAAATGTGTATTACACTATCTTTGTGGGAAATTTGGTAAATCTAAAATGAATTATGTATTTACTTGCGATGATGCTACTATATATCATGATGCTCGATGAGGCAACCATAAACAGCCACTTCTTCACATTATTATGAAATCTCAGTGTGAAAGTTGGTGGAATTGGCTATTTTAAAGATGGCGGAATATTACTGAAGTCTTTCTAGATTATCAACCCAAAATGTAAAGACGATATTGACATTTATGTGCTACCATCAAATAACAAGTTCGCAAATTCATATATTCGAACTTTGTCATCTACATCATTCAAAAGACAATTTAATTCAAAAATCTCATGCCGAAATTAAGGGGAGGGTGACAATTCTAATAATGTATTTTTTTTTTATTTTTTTTTAATAATGTCTCAATCACGAATTCATAACACTACTAAAATTTATTCTTATTCACAAATACAATATAATTAAAATATAGTTTAGAAAAATAGATATGTTAAAGCATTTATAGTTACAAAAAAAATAATGAATCATGTTTTGTTCTCTATAGTTTATAGAATTTTTTAAAGGGTGTAAATTAGGGTTGGACGCCCCATTTTTTTGAGAAAAATGGATGCCATACACCTAGTGATACGTGGAAATTTATTTAATTTTAAGCAAATAGATAATTTATCTCTCCTAAACGTGACAGTAGAAAGAACCAAATTATGAGTATTACTTATATTTTTCTCCATGTTATTTGTTTACATTAGTTCTTTGCATATTTTTTTTCTTTTTTTTATTATATAATACATTGACTTAAATGTACATGTGATTTAGCAAATAATATTATATTTTGCAGTCAATGAATTCTTTAACTTATTTGGAAAATAAAGTAAAATGTTTTTTTTTAATCATAAGTAATTTCATATTAAGTACATAAATAATAGGGGTAATATGCATGACACCCCTCAAATCAAACCTAATTAAATGTGAATTGACAACCTCAAATAGAATATTTTAACTAAATTCTTAATTTTAAACCAATTTTGACATACACCCTTTTATTTTATTTTAATCCAAAAATACCCTTAAACCTAATTAAATATCACGTGATTCTCTCTCTCTCTCTCTCCTTCCTGTTGCGCCGCCCAACTCCTCCCCTTCTCTTTCTTTCTTTTCTTTTCATTCTATATTATTTTTGTGCCACCCAACATCTCCCATTCACTCCCTTTTTTTTCTTTTAGTGTAGTAGATCTGAATTTTTGATGATATGAGGCGGAGAACAACAGATCTGTAACCAGCGACGGCTATTCCGAAAGAGCTTTGCGTGGCGGCTTTGCAGTACCCGACTCGCCTAAGGCCGGTGGGAAGGGGAGATTGCATCACCCTTTGTGCACGGGGTGGTTGGGGGCAGCAGGGAAGGGTTGGCGATGTGTTTCAACGATGTTGGTTTGCTTGTTGCACGTTTTCAGGGGCGACAAGGGCTGGGTGAATCCATGGTAGGTGAGTGTTTAATTGCTTACGAGGTGAGGACGGCTCAATGGTGGTTGGTCTTCGTGTGCTGGCGGCTCTCGGGTTCAAAAGAGTGATATTAGAATTTTCAGAATGACTACAGTAGTTTACGGTTCTGACGGCGTTGTGAATCGGAGGGTCGGCGCGGTTCAAGAGTGCGGATCTAGGGTTTCAGAGTGACTATAGTTGCCTATGGATTACTACAAGTGACTATGGATTACTATATATATATATATATATATATATATA